CTTTCACCGACTCTTCTCCCTGGTCTCGGATTCTGCCAGTCATTTCCGCCAATTCCATGTAGTCACTCACCTTCATCTGCCATTCTTCCAGGGTGGGTAGATCTTGTGTCTTCCAATACTTTGCGATAAGTATTCTTGCTGCTGTTGTAGCATACATAAAAAAGATTCTGTCCTTCTTTGGCACCAATTGGCCGACAATGCCCAGAAGAAAGGCCTCTGGTTTCTTCAGAAAGGTATATTTAAATACCTTTTTTTTTATTATTATAAATCATCTCCCAGAAAGCCTTAATCCTTGGGCACGTCCACCAAAGGTGAAAAAATGTACCTTCAGTTTCTTTACATTTCCAACATTTATTATCAGGCAAATGATAGGTTTTTGCAAGCTTGACTGGGGTCATGTACCACCTGTATATCATTTTCATGATATTCTCTCTTAAGGCATTACATGCCGTAAACTTCATACCTGTGGTCCATAACTGTTCCCAGTCAGCAAACATAATGTTGTGTCCAACATCTTGTGCCCATTTAATCATAGCAGATTTCACCGTTTCATCCTGAGTATTCCATTTCAACAGCAAGGTATACATTCTTGACAAATTCTTAGTTTGGGGTTCTAACAATTCTGTTTCTAATTTTGATTTTTCCACCTGGAAGCCAATGTGGTCCTGAGCCATTTTACACTTGTTCTCATAGTGGCCAACCAGATGGCTACAGGAAACCTGCAAGCGATACTTGACTGAGCGCAAGAGTCCTCTCCCCTCCAATGTGGCCAAAGAATCATTTTTATCCACTTGCATGTTTGCCAGAATCAAATAACCCCAGAGCTGGAGGAAAGGTGTTTGAGCACTCCACTTTTAATGAATGCCTTTGAGAAGTTCCAGCGTCCTTGTTTTCCACGCAGATATTTTATTTCACTTTATATGTTATTGGAGAAACGAAAGGAAACATTCCTGAGGCTACCAAAGCACCCTCCGGTTAGATCTTTCATTAGCCGTTTCAAAGGAAAAATAGAAATGGGAGTTGGTGGGTTGTTTCCTTATATATATGTGTGTTGTTGTTTTTCTCCAAATCTAGTAGCTCAGGGGACAATACATAGGCCCTCTGCAAATAAAATGTGTTTTTGCCACACCAGGAAGCAGGTGCCGAAGTGTTGGGAATGGTCCAATTGTCAGTGGAGACAAGGAGAATCTATTTAGACACACGAGGGGAGATTTACTGAAAAGACCAGTTCTGAGTGAATCAATATCAAGAGCAAATTTTCAAGTACTGCAGGCTATTTAGCTGGACTTTGGAAGCTCACTTGTTTATTTTTATTATTTTGTTTTTTCTTTTGCAAAGGGAGTTCTGGAATCTTATCTGTAGAAGACTGAAACCATGGTGCTTGGGGAAATTGGGCCTTAACCTTCCACCGCTCAGTCAGGAATATGGCCCTGGTTCACTGCAGGACTTGAATGCTAGAAATGTCCATTTATCCTAAAGCCTAGATTATTGTTTTAAGGTGTCAGCTGATCCAGAAAGCTACCATGTGTTGGTGGAGGCAGGATATTAGCAGAGATGGGTAGGCCCTCTAAGGCTTACTACATCAATAGAGTGGTACCTTGGTTCTCAAACACGTTGGTACTTAAACAACTTGGAACCCAAACACTACAAACCTGGAAGTAACTGTTCCGGTTTGCGAACTTTTTTAAGAAGCTGAACATGCTCTGTTTTGACAGTTACACTTCCAATTCGAGTGCCACACTTCCAATTTGAGTGTTACGCTGAGGTCTGTCTGTTTTTGCTATTTATTTTGCGTTTTCGTTTTGGCGGCTTTTTTGTTTTGTTTTTTTGTGACTGTGTGGAACCCAGTTCAGCTACTGATGGATTGATTGTGTGACTTCAGTACATTGTTTATTGCTTTCATTTTATGGATCAATGGTCTCGTTAGATAGTAAAATTCATGTTAAATTGCCGTTTTAGGGGTTGTTTTTAAAAGTCTGGAACGGATTAATCCATTTTGCATTACTTTCTATGGGAAAGTGCGCCTTGGTTTTGGAACGCTTTGGTTTTAGAACGGACTTCTGGAACGGATTAAGTTTGAGAACCAAGGTACCACTGTACTTTCCACCTTCTTTGCCCTCATCGGAACATGTTCAAATCTTATTCTTATTTTGTTGCCACACCACCCTGCTGACTCACGTTCAGGCTTGTGATTGCCTACATTCCTGAAATCTTTTTAAGCTCGTACCAGTGCCACTGCTTTGCTATTTTGTTCTGAGCTCGAGTTAAGGTGTCTTAAAGCACCCCCTTGTGGAGTATAATTCTGGAAGCATTCACACCTTTGTAGAAGCATGGGAGGGATTGGATCCTCAACTTTAGGAGGCAGCATGTGGCAATGACATCATGGACACTCTCAGCCACCTAGAGGATTCTGGGAAGATGTGCAGAGGCCCATGGGTGCCGTAGTGGAAAATCAGTCAGGAAGGCTACAGTCTACCTCCACTTTCGGAGGAATATGGCAATTGCTGGGGATTGCAAGTAGGGAGAACGCTGCTGTGATTATGTCCTCCTTTCAGGTTTTCCACCGTAATCTGGCTGGCCACTGTGAGAACCAGATGCTGGACTAGACAGGTCATTGATAATAAATATTAATAATTTTAAAAAAATAATAAATTATTTATATCCTGCCCTCCCCAGCCAAAGCCAGGCTCAGAGCGGCTAACAGTAAAAGTAACACGGTTTACATAAAATCACAATCAATTAATTGAAATACATTCTAAATTCAATTCATTCTAAAATCAATTCTGAATCAAATGAATGGCAAGCATTGGGCTAGAGTTCTATGGGGATTACCAAAGGAGGGGGTCAGACTGTGCCTTGGCCAAAGGCCTGGAGGAACAGCTCCGTCTTGCAAGCCCTGTGGAAAGATGTCAAGTACCGCAGGGCCCTAGTCTCTTGTGACAGAGCGTTCCACCAGATTGGGGCCACAGCCGAAAAAGCCCTGGCTCTGGTTGAGGCCAGCCTAACCTCCTTGTGGCCCGGGATCTCCAAGATGTTTTTATTTGAATACCATAAGGTCCTCTGTGGGACATACCAGGAGAGGCGGTCCCGTAGGTACGAGGGTCCTAGGCCGTATAGGGCTTTAAAGGTTAAAACCATCACCTTAAACCTGATCCTGTACTCCACCGGGAGCCAGTGCAGCTGGTATAGCACCGGGTGATCTGATCTGGCATGGTTCTTCTTGCACTTTTATCAGGAACATAGCATGGACTTGGCCGAGGCAAAGTCTCATAGATGGATGACCAAATCTGCCATGGGCTAGATTTCTCAAATCTGCTGCAAGGATCTTTTTTCCTCTGGGTGTTTTTTGCATCTCTCAAGGTCAGTGCCTTCTTTTCTGTTTTTCTTTTAAAGGAATACACAGGAAATGTTAGAGCCGAAATTGTTTTTGCTTTGTACCCTCAAAAACTACTAAGAACTGTCGATTTTGTTTTGCCTTCTTCCGGGAACAGCACCCAGAGCCTGAAACAATTCCCATCGATTTTTATATGAAAAATGGAGGTCTTGGGTAATTGTAGTTCCGTCTCCACCTCCAATACCTAAGTCACCCATTGTGTGCCTTGGAGTCCACCCCCACCCCCCCACCCCCGCCCCCGCCCCCACCACAAATGTCAACTGACTGAAATGAGGCTTTTTAACAACAGAGTTTGAAAATATTGGTAAAATCCAACTGCTCTTGAGCAGAGAAGCAGTTGGCTGGGCTGGGAGGCTGTTTGCCTTGTTTCAGGGGCTGCTGACTGCTCCTTCATTGGGGAGCTTTGTAAAAGACACCATCTGACTGCATGAGATTACGTGCTATTAAAGATCATTAACTGCAACGCTGGCAGACCGCAATTGGCTGCCGAACAAGCAAGGCTTCCGCTGCAATTGTATTTGCCCAGTCCCCTTGCTATTTGCAATTGTTTCATCTTTCAGTTACGCTTCCAGTAGACTACCAAATGCTGAAAGATATTTGTCAATGAGAGTTGAATATATAGAATAGCATCGTATTTGAAATATTCAACAAATATCCAAGAGAGATTGCCAGCAGCTGGGGGGGGGGCGCAAAAAGAATGCTGTCCACCTCAATAATATACTGATTCTGAAAGGGAGACATTTAGATGAGGAGAATGAAGCATCTTGGGCCTTATTCCCCATAGGTCTATTATCTTTCCTACATCCTTGCCATCAGTTTCTATTAACCCAAGGAGCTGATCAAGCTCCTGGTGGTGGGAAGACACCCTTGGGAGTGATAATGTCTATTACCTGAGCAAGATTTTCCTGCCCATGCTCCTCTTCATACTGAATCAGACCATTGACTCGCCTAGTTCAGTACCTACAGTGAGCGGCAGGGTCTCTCCTGGGTCTCAGAATGGGTCCTTCTTGTCGTAACTGGAGATGCCGAAAGTTGAACCTGGGTCCTCTTGCATGCAGAATCGCTTTTATTGCAGCACAAAGCAAAGCGAGAGAACATTGAAATCAGATAGCAGAATATACTGTATTTTTCGCTCTATAGGACGCACTTTTCCCCCTCCAAAAATGAAGGGGAAATGTGTGTGCGTCCTATGGAGCGAATGCAGGCTTTCACTCTCCAGGCTTCAGGCAGCCATCCACAAGCCTTCTGAGTGCGGCAGGAGTTCCCGCTGCGCTCAGAAGGCTTGTGGATAGCTGCCTGTTCTGGGGGCGGGGGTAGCTTGGGCTTCCCTGCCCCCAGCCCCCAGTCCCGCAAACTCCGGGAGCAGCGGCGAGGTTGCTCCTGGACCTGGGGGGGGGGATAATTTTTTTTCTTTATTTCCCCCACTAAAAATTAGGTGCGCCCTATGGTCCGGTGCGCCCTATGGAGTGAAAAATACGCTACAGGAACTAACTTAAAAAAATTCACAACTCTTTAAGAATTGTAATTAGTAAAATTAGTAATTAATTTTTTTAAAAAAAATATGTTAAAACATAAAGCATATTAAAGCATATTATATCTTAGTAGAAGGGCTGTAGCTCAGCAGAAGAGCATTTGCTTTGCACACAGAAGTCCCTGGGTTTGATCCCTGGCAGCTCCAGGTAGGGATGGGAAAAATTCCTTGTTGGAAGCCTGGTAGAGGTGCTGCCAGTCAGTGTAGAAAACTGAGTAAGGCAGACTAATGGTCTTGCCATGGAAATTCTACTCAATAGTCATCCAGAGCAGAACTCTGCTGCATAGTTGTTGTTGTTGTTGTTGTTGTTGTTGTTGTTGTTGTTGTTTAGTCGTTTAGTTGTGTCTGACTCTTTGTGAACCCATGGACCAGAGCAAGCCAGGCACTCCTGTCTTCCACTGCCTCCCACAATTTGGTCAAACTCATGCTGGTAGCTTCGAGAACACTGTCCAACCATCTCGTCCTCTGTCATCCCCTTCTCCTTGTGCCCTCCATCTTTCCCAACATCAGGGTCTTTTCCAGGGAGTCTTCTCTTCTCATGAGGTGGCCAAAGTCTTGGAGCCTCAGCTTCAGGATCTGTCCTTCCAGTGAGCACTCAGGGCTGATTTCCTTCAGAATGGAGAGGTTTGATCTTCTTGCAGGCCATGGGACTCTCAAGAGTCTCCTCCAGCACCATAATTCAAAAGCATCAATTATTTGGTGATCAGCCTTCTTTATGGTCCAGCTCTCACTTCCATGATGTATAGTTAGCAGAGCCAAAACTTAAACATGTTGCAGGATTCCCCAAAAATAGACCAGAGGCATTTCATCCAGCAGAGCTTTACTGCTGCTGAAGGCAAATGAGAATCATTGTCACAAATCCAATACATTCAGGATTGGCACTGCCAATAAGAAATCCAGTTGCAGGAGACCTAACTTAAACTTACAATATATAGCTTTATAGTCCATAGACCCACAAAACAGTTTCAAAACAAGATACAGTTAAAACAACCAAACAACAGGCGAAAGAGACCGAGGTCGTCATTTTGTTGTGTATAGAGCGTGATGGTCTTTGTTTCTTGCGACCTCCGAAAGAAACTTTGCCACGGTCAGTGTAATATCATTTGACCTGTAAACTTACAATAGCTTATAAGTCTTAACATTAACACTATATACAGAACACCACAACAGAAGGAAAAGAGATAAAAAGAGAAAGGGAAACTCAGACTCCTTCTAGCCTTATGATCATAGTCAGCATGACCTTGACAGAAGGAATAAGAGAACCAGTTTATAGCAGCTGTACTCAGCTTCTCTGAAGGTATAACCCAAACATCACAAACCTTCTGCTTGTTTCTTTCACACAGAGAAGCTACCAGAACCCTCTTGAACAGGAAAGATTCCTACACCTCAGATCAATGCTTTCTGTACTAAGAAATGCAAACTGACAGATCTGACTCAGAATAAGGCAGCTTCTGATGTTCCTATCTTTGCTCGCAAACTCCCCCAGTTGTGACAAAATCATCAGCAGTACAAGAGAGGTTATTGAGGACAACCATACAACCAGTCACTGGTTCTTCCACTTTTGAGACCACCAGAACATAAATGAAACCAGATAATGGTTGGTCAGTGACAATTTTAAGCACCCACTTTTGCCAAACTAGTCTCCTGTCAATGGAGTAGAACATGAAACCCAGTGACTGGCTTGACTGAGATACGGAGGGGAGCATCCTCCATTTGTCACCATGGCAGCCATGAAGGCTCCAGCTGCTCCAATAAATATATGTTGATTATCCAAAACTTGTTTAATCTCTACTGAATGTATGAACTGCCTCCATAAGAAAGCAGAGAATCATAGAATTGTAGAGCTTGAAGGGACTCTGATAGGCATCTCATCCTCCTGTGCAGGAATCTCAACCAAAGCATCTGTGACAGATGGCCATCCACTCTCTGCTTTAAAACTTCCAAGGAAGGAGAGTCCACCACCTCCCAAGGGAGTCCATTTCACTGTTGGACAGCTCTTACTGTCGGAAAGTTCTTCCTGATGTTTAGTTGGAATCTCCTTTCTTGTAACCTGAATCCTGTGCTGGGCCCGGGGGTAACCCATGTAACACGGTCCAGGACCAGACCAGAATCCGAAGGTTTTGCTAGGAATCAGTCCGACAGGGCGAAGGCAGGACACCAGGCAAGGGCAGGTACAGGATCTCAGGCAGGATCTAGCATACAGCAATGTTGCTCCTGTAACCTGCAGCGGGGTCTGACAGCCTTTATCTTTGTCGGGGTAGCGGCCGGTCCTGATCCCCCAACAACTCACCTCCCTGTTTCGCCTGAAGGCGAGCACTCCTCCTGCGAGTTCTCAGGTCTCTCCTTCTCTCAGACCTCAGTCTCTGCAGCTCAGAAGACATCAGTGGGTTACTAGACCCAGGGGCCGCCTCAGCCTCCCCTGACCAAACCAGTAGTGGAGCAGCTATAAGTGATGGCCTAGCTGGAGGCAACAAGGTAATCCCCGCATCTGGAACCAGGGCAGCCTCAGGCCCCCTGACTCGGCGCAGCTGGTGCTTGTTGCAGGGGAACCTGTGCAGACTGGGACTCTTCAGGATCAGGCCCCAGACTTGGTTCAGATGATGCCTGAGGCAAAGGATCCGGTGCAGACTCTTCTGGTTCCGAGTCCGAGTCCCAGGCCATCACAAATCCATTAGTTTGGGTCCTAGCCTCTGGAGCAGGAGAAAACAAGCTTGGGCTATGTGATAGCCCTTCAGATATTTGAAGATGGCCTTTGTATCTCCTCTCTGTCGCCTGTTATGCAGGTTAAACATACCTACCTCCTCAACCATTCCTCATAAGTCTTTGTTTCAGACCCTTTTTCCAGGTAATAAGATTTTTATTTTTATTGTTTTCATTCTACACATCTCTTCCATCTCTGGGAAGAAGCAGGAATTGTTCCGCACCCTGCACCTTCCACTGCCACCTTTTTGTGTTCTGAGGTTCATATTTGAATGGGTGAAAAGATATAAATGTTTCAGTTGCAGCTGTTTGATCATTGTCGCCTCATTAACACACACAAATTACTTTTGGATTCATCAGACATGAGCATGCTTGTGTGAACCAGGTCCCCAAGCATTAAGCATCCAATAATGAGAACTGGTATAACCTAATAATTAAAGTGAAAGCTGTGAACCAGGAACCCCTGGGTTCAAATCTCACTTCTTCTCAATTTCATTAGACATACTTAAACAAGCTACATCCTCCGCCCCCTGCCCTCCACCTGTAATATTTAGATACTCATGTTTTGTAAGGACTCCTGCAATAAAGCACGTGAAACACTTCAGGCCCTTTGAAATGCAAAGTGTTGCAATTAAGATTGTGTGATGAATATGTAGGTGGGGCCGAACCCTTAATTATCTGGTATAAATACATTTCTCATCACCTCCATATGGAAGGTAACTCACCAACAGGGCCATGGCTAGGGGGTGGTGAGATGGGCCCCCGCCTAGGGTGCAGGCGAGGGGGCTAAAATCGGCTAAAAATATGTCCATAAATCTGTCGATAAATAAAAATATCGATTATTGCCTCATAAGAAAAGGTTTTTAATAGAGGGCGAATTGAATGAGTGGGGTTGGGGGTTGGAGGAGAGGTGGAAAGAAGAGCTAATTTATCCATACTAGGGGGCACAATCTGGACGGTTCTGCCAGGGGCGCAAGATCACCTAGCTATGGCTCTGCTCACAAGCTGAACCTTCCTCATTCTGGTGCCTTACGGCTGTAGGTAAAAAGGTAAAGGTAAAGGACCACTGGATGGTTATGTCCAGTCAAAGGTGACTGTGGGGTTACAGGCCTCATCTTGCTTTCAGGCTGAGGGAGCTAGTGTTTGTCCACAGACAGCTTTCCGGGTCATGTGGCCAGCATGACTCAACCGCTTCTGGCTCAATGGGACACCGTGACAGAAGCCAGAGTGCACGGAAATGCCGTTTACCTTCCCGCCACAGTGGTACCTATTTATCTACTTGCACTGGCATGCTTTTGAACTGCTAGGTTGGCAGGAGCAGGGACCAAGCAATGGGAGCTCACCCCATCGCAGGGATTCGAACCGCCAACCATCAGATCGGCAAGCCCAGGAGGCTCAGTGATTTAGACCACAGTGCCACCAGTGTCCCAGCTGTACTGTCTGGGGACTCATGGGAGTAGCTGTCCAAAACATCTGGAAGGAACCTGGCTGGGAAAAGCTGGACTAGCTGAACCCGCAGAGACTCCTGCACCAATAAGGTGCAAGACTCTTCTCTTTTTGCAGCAATCTCCCTCTTTATATGCAGTAGGGGCTTAGCCCGTCGCCTGTTGAAGGGGCTGAATAGGAACGTTTGCAGGTGGATTCCTCGATTGGCCTTAGAGTCACTCTGTTTTTGCCTACTCCACACTCCTGGGGCTAAGTTGTTTGGCTTTCTGGGCATGCATAGTGCAACATAGTGTTGGCACTGATGGTAAGGAAGTGATAGGCAAAATAGTTGGTAAACTGAGGCATTGCTGGGTTATAAGGGCACCCACCCTATTGGGGCCTGCCAGTACTTTATGCCTAGTGGGCCTTGGTGAGGTATATTTTAGGCGAATACTTGGGTACGCATGTTGGGTTCATACTCAAGGCTCGTCTAGTAAGGAGGGTGTTATTCCTACCCCATCCTTAGCATATGGTGGAATCACATGCTTGGGGGCTGGAGGGGTGCTTTCTTGCCATAGTTACTTAAGTCCTCACCTGCCTGGACTCCTTTTAATTTTGTTGATTGGGTTAATGTTGGTTTGCAGTTCCTCTGACTTACGTTTTAATGAATAAAGGTAAAGGTAAAGGGACCCCTGACCATTAGGTCCAGTCACGGACAACTCTGGGGTTGTGGCGCTCATCTCGCTTTATTGGCCGAGGGAGCCGGCATACAGCTTCTGGGTCATGTGGCCAGCATGACTAAGCCGCTTCTGGCGAACCAGAGCAGCGCACGGAAACGCCGTTTACCTTCCTGCCAGATTTACCTATTTATCTACTTGCACTTAAGGGTGCTTTCGAACTGCTAGGTTGGCAGGAGCAGGGACCGAGCAACGGGCGCTCACCCTGTCGCGGGGATTCGAACCGCTGACCTTCTGATCGGCAAGCCCTAGGCTCTGTGGTTTAACCCTTTATTCCATTTCTGT